ACAAATTAATGAGTTAGAAAAGTATTGTGATGAATGGAAATTGAATGTAAATAGAAATAAAACAAAAAATGTTGTATTTAAAAACGGCTGTAATTTATCAAAATATGAAAAATGGTACTATAAAGGTAACCAATTGGAGATAACAAGTTTTTATAAGTATTTAGGAGTGTATTTTACTAACCGTCTTTCATGGACATATCATGTAAGCCAAGCATCCTTACAAGCTCAAAAGGTATTCATTGGTATACAACGAAATGCATGTGGTCTAAACTTTGATCATAATACACTTTTCAAAATTTTTGATGTAAAAATAAGTCCAATTTTATTGTATGGTGCAGAGATTTGGGGACTCTCAAAAGTAGATGCTATAGAAAAGATTCACTTGTATGCATGTAAGAAATATTTAGGTGTAAAAGTTAATAACCCGGGGTTATGGTTTATGGTGATTGTGGTCGCTATCCACTGTATATTTTTGCATATATTAAAGATATCAAATATTGGTTAAGAATTTTAAATATGCCAAAAAGTAATTGTTGTTTGATTCAAATGGTAAAAGAAACTGGGCAACTGGTGTTAGAGAACTCTTATTTGAATCTGGCTTTGGTAATGTTTGGTATGATCAACGGGTCAATAATACTGCTGAGTTTATCCAGTCACTGAAACAAAGACTAAAAGATATTTATTTACAATCATGGATTGTTTCATTAGCATTATCAAATAAACACTTTTATTATATATTTAAATCTTACATTTATAGAGAATGCTATCTCGTTGATATTACCATACCAAACTATAGAAAAGCATTGGCACGGTTTCGTTGCATGTCGCATGATCTACATATTGAAACAGGCAGATATATAAATACCCCACGAGAACAAAGAAAATGTAACATGTGTAACTTCAATGAAATAGAAGACGAGTATCACTTCCTTATCAGATGTCCATTATATTTAGAACTAAGAATAACATATTTACAAAAATACTAATACAGTGAACCAAACATATGTAAATGTATAAGTTTATTAAAACGTGAGAGAACAGAGGTTGTAAAGAATTTATCGATGTTTATTTACCATGCTTTTGCCCATAGAAATGAAATTGTTAACTGTTAATTAAATACTATCTATGCCAGAATAAAATGAGCACATTTATGGTTGTCATGATGTATATATGTGGGAGATAATTTATTTCAATTTGATGTTCTATTGTAATGATTAATTATGTTGAATTGTATTATGTACTAAAGGTCTGTGGCCTCTTGAGTACGAAATAAAGATTGATTGATAGAGTTTCACTACTTGTTTGAGTGACCACACATAAAAACTGATCGTCAGCGCTATCTTAAAAAGTACTATTATGTCAAGTCTAATTATCATAAACTTTAACAACTATTTACTTCTCCTAAAGTCTCAGTGCTAAGAAACCTCATCAGATTTGACTGAGTGTATATTCTCATACTCATAATCATGCGAGTATCCTCTGTTATCAAATGACTTCCTTGCATTTATGTCGATGTACCACTGTGAGTGGTTAGTTATGGAATGAACTATGTCTATGTCTATGTCTATGACAGCAGTATCATACAATGCCAGCTTTCTCTTCTGAACCTCGGATGCTGCATATTAGGTGGGACGTCACACATGGACGACCGACCCGTGGCAATTCATAAGTGTCGATAACGTCTCTGAAGAGATGCTATTGTGTTTTGATGAACATTAAAAACATATTACCTTTATTTACTCCCCCCCCCCCCCCCAAACTCCACACTCAATCCCCCCGATGGATACTGCCTCCGTAAAAAAAACAACGTCTGACGGGTGGTTCAATACCAAGCCGCGTCTTACCAACAGACACTAAAATATGGTTGCTGTTGTGTTCAAGTTATATCACGGCGTGTCAGCTTAATGTGAGAGGAAAGCCCGAAGTGATGCAGGTGTCAGACGTTTACCACTTTGGTGAAACCCACGAGCACGGGTATGGTGCTGACAAACCTAGAAACATAATCAGGGTGAACCGGGATTCGAACCCACAATCATAGTTTTCTGGCGTACCTAGGGGCGCAACTCTGCACAGCTAATCGCGGCGCCTTAGACGACTGTGCCACCCCTGCCCCGAAAATGCCATGACGTGAATAGAACCTTCAAACTCGCATATCGTGCTTAGTTTTGTAACCCACTGTTTTCCCACTTAGTCATCGAGACAGGTGATGAAAACCTGTTCAGTTTTACATGTCATGACTCCAGTTGGTCCATGCTGCACGTGTGTTTTCTCTCGCAAGCTTTGGCCAAAGGGACGCAACTCTGCACAGTTATTAAAGGGAAAGAAAGTCAATATAGCAACTTTGCAGATTTTGATAATTTAGGGAATATTTAATCACAAAAGCTTGACCAAAATTAAATTTTGAAAATCGTGCGTAAAACAGACGATAAAAAACGACAGGAGAATTCATCCCCCGTTGTTTGTCGTGATTCGCAATTTCAACGACCATGACGATCGGGCCGTCGCCCATTCTGCCTACCTCCGCCTCGGAATGTGTTATACATTACGCCTATTTCCTGTCTACTCAGCATTCTATTTACCGTGTCCACTACTTATGGGTGAGTGAGTATTGTTTTACGCCGCTTTTAGCAATATTCCAGCAATATCACGGCGGGGGACACCAGAAATGGGCTTCACACATTGTACCCATGTCGGGAATCGAACCCGGGTCTTCGGCGTGACGAGCGAACGCTTAAAATGAAGATGCCTGAACGCGTCAAACATATCAGACAATGAAAACAGTTGTCACCTTTAGGCCACGACCCTAAATAGGTTTCTTTTGGAACCCGATTACGGAGCGGCTTTGCAGGTCTTTAACTTGGGACATTAAAAAATTTAATACTTTCTTCGAACATTGGGAGTTCTTCTCACTCGGAAATTGACCAATCGTATAAAAAATGTTATATTCACAACAAAATCGCAGTCATGTTTTTCAATTTATAAGCCCTTGAGGGGGATAAAATAAGGCCTGGTCGACTCGGAGTCCGTATACTGTGTCTGAGTTGGGGTAACTGTATTAAATTGCGGAATGATACATTTTACCTCTGTGGGCTTGAAATACACAACCCGCATAAACGTCGCGAATTTACAAGTTCGAAGCAAAACGTATCAGAACAAGCTACCAAAGCATAACAGAATAATAACTATAATCTATGCCAAGGAAGGAAACTACATTTGTTAACTGGATGTCAACTGCGCCTTTTTGAGACTGTGGTTGTTTCAATTCTTCTTCATGGTAGCGAAATATTGGGATTTGACAATCTTTCTATCACAGAAGTATAAGCGACAAAACGGTTTCCATATTCAAAAAAAAAGGTTATTGTACGATTCCGATTATATCGTTAGCATGTATTTTTGAATCACTATCAAATAGATGTTCGCAAAAAGGTGAGTGTATCCATCCCCACCTGTGGATACCCATCACAAACAAATGCAAAGGCAAGCCAATTGTTCACCTAAAAAAACGCACCAGCACATATGGTACGAATCAAAATTTGGGTTTGCATCCAAAATCATTCTTGTCAATGATGCGTCAAATTTGGAAATGTCCTCCACATGACTACCATAAAACGATCAGAAGGTTTTCCTGAGGCCTTGAATGTTGTAACCTTGATCAAACAACTTCTGAGCACGAGTCGCATGACGCTCTTTGAAATCTTGGTAGAAAGTAGCATGATCGATTGTTCATCAACAGTTCTGAAATGTGACACCAAGGGCTGGAACTGCAGGGACATTGCTCGACATAAAGGGAAATTTGACTATTGGAAAGTTGAAGTGATCTAAGTTTATTATATTAGGTTTAAATGATTTAAAGTTTAGATTTTAATGGTTTCGGTTTAAATTTAATAGGAACATGGATAACATGCATGAAACGAATTTTTCACGAACTCGACCTGTCACATATTGATTCACCCGTGAAGATCCGGGTTAGAATAAGCCTTCAGCAACCCATGCTTGCCATTAAAGTCGACATTGCTCAGATCGATGTTCATTATGTCCATCACTGTGTTGTCGTCATATAGCTCGTAGCTCGTATTTTGCCGAGTGTGGCGTTAAACAACAAACAAATCTTTATAAAACATATTTAAAAAATAAATTTCTACTTACAACTAACAATTTTCTTTGGAAAATTACTTAATTGTGTGACAGAGTAAATACACGTATGACCAAATATAATACACATTTAGTTTTACGTTTCAAACACATAACTCGTTAATTAACTAAACTACATTTCACATTTACAAATTCATGGCGCAGAGTTTCCAAATTTCATCCGCCAATATTTGCCTAATGAGTATAGGCTTGTCGGGAAGGAGCGCTTCGCGGCACTTGTGGGCCCTATTCATATACTTGCCATAACTATTTTGCCTTTCACGGCCTCTGGAATATGTTTCGGCAGATACTGGAGATGGATTATTATCGAGGTAAAATGTGCTGTTATATTTGCACCAATAGCGGATTATTTCGTATTTGAGATGATAATACATGGATACCATACTTGGTTAATATATGAATGCTTACTTATTTTCAAGAGATATTAGATTGGTTCGATGCACAAACAAACATACTGGTGTGTTGTGTTAACCGATGCTCATGAACACATCACATGTGACGTCATAGATCCATGACACCATTTGTCTTTTGCAGGATTATCGTGTACAGTTTGGAAGTCACGTGCAGCATATCGTGATAAGAGTAGAGACACCGTGTAGTAACACTTGACTGATTGTTCGTTTTGTCATTAATTGGTACACATCTCTGTTTAACGTACATACTTATCTATATGTGTCTATGGTGCGCGTTTCTTTTGGTGGTGAGTATATTAACAACGTGTTTTTCTCTGTCACGTTGATAAGAGGTGGTCGGTGGTTCTTGAACATTTTTATTCACCTTGAAGGTGGAATGGAATTAAAATGTTTTTCATTTTTAAACGTAGCATTACGCCTTTTAACATCCGAGGAATGGCTGAAGCAAACAGCATCGCATTCTGTGACTTTGACAAGCGTGAGACCATGACTTCAGTTGAGGTCGCTGACGTCTTCAACAAGGTTGCCAACTCTTACGACGAGGTAAGGGAGAGTTGGGTTTGGTTAAACGCCGCTTTTAACAGTATTCCAGTTATATCGCAGCGTGTCAGCTTAATGTGGGAGGAAAGCCCGAAGTGATGCAGGTCTTAGACGTTTACCACTTCGGTGAAACCCACGAGCACGGGTATGGTGCTGACGAACCTAGAAACATAATCGGGGCGAATCGGGATTCGAACCTCTACAATCATAGGTTTCTGGCATGCCCAAGGGACGCAACTCTGCACAGCGAATTGCGGCGCCTTAGACGACTGGGCCACCCGTGCCCCCTGGTAAGGGAGAGAGTGACCGCATCTCCGAAACAACACACCAGCGTTACTAACATTAAATGTAAGGAATACCCAACATCGGAAGAACAATTCGTGTTCCTTGGAGGTAATGGTGGATTATAGCATAACCCTTGTGTCTTTGTCTGTATTTAAACTAACTGAATTGTTAAGGAATATTCTGGTTTTTTCCTTTTACTTTATTTGATGAAGCAAAACATGACCGACAACGGGATTTGAACCTGCATATTCTATACCACACACAACTGCGAGATCTTTCGTTCTCACGTTATTTGCCTTTCGATACGTTCAAATCTTTGGTTGTGTTTTGTGACATCTGAGTCTGAGAACACTAAAAGATCGAGTAAACTGCGTCGGCAACTGTTGCTGTTTTTCGACACAGCGACCAAGGCAGCAAAACCAACCTTTGGTGTTTACTTGTGCGAAACGTTTAAAAAGCATACATTTTCAATCGAAATATATTGCATATTAAATGATAAAGTGTTTGGAAACCCTTCAACTCGGGTAAATATTATATATGTAATTGAAACAATATGCTCGTGATTAAGAATAGGGTATTCTTGCCCCTGGACAAGAATTTCATAACACGTGCCAAAGGCACTGCTGACTTATTCCACGTCTCAAACAGCGTGTGTGGGTGTGTGTGATTGTTATTTTACACCACGCTCAGAAGTATTGCATCTATAGTGAGTGAGTGAGTGAGTTGGGTTTAACGCCGCTTTTAACAGTATTCCAGTTATATCGCGGCGTGTCAGCTTAATGTGGGAGGAAAGCCCGAAGTGACGCAGGTCTTAGACGGTTACCACTTCGGTGAAACCCACGAGCACGGGTATGGTGCTGACAAACCTAGAAACATAATCGGGGCGAACCGGGATTCGAACCCACAATCATAGGTTTCTGGCGTGCCCAAGGGACGCAACTCTGCACAGCGAATCGCGGCGCCTTAGACGACTGGGCCACCCGTGCCCCCTATTGCATCTCTAGGACGGCTGCCAGAGACTAATGTTGTGAACAACAATCCACGCCGCTGGGGTACGATGACACGCAAGCCACCAAGCCTGACTACCGGAACCATTTAGTCACTTCTTACTACCAGCATAGGATGCTGGGGATCTACTCTAATTCGGAATCACCGTGGAGAGTTATCAAGAAGGATCAGTTCTTGTTATTGAGTAATTGAATATCAAAAATGTTCATTAGCCAAATGTTGTTATAAATTTTAAGTGACAACATTCTTGAATAATAAAAAATAAATGATAACAAATTGAAGTAGCATTTGTAACAAGATACATTTTAATACAGACGTGGCAAGCTAGAAATTACAGGGACAATATATACGTGGCGGAGGGGGTAGCTGACTTCTTTCCGGAGAGGAGAGCCGATGTGAGAATCCTTGATGTTGGCGCGGGCACGGGGCTGCTAGCTACACAGGTCAGAAATGGTTTTATTGTCACAGTTGTTGATTCTAATTCGGTTTTCAAGTGGAAAGGTAATTTAGGGATTAAAAATGACCCGGGGCCAAGTTATTTTTCATCCCCCACCTCTCAAGAACACCCTACGATCGATCGATCAGTTGTGTCACTGGCTATTAGGAAGATATAATGTTATCAACTCTAAACGTTTGAGATTTCTTTTGCAGCTGTGGAAAAAAGACTTCAGGCAAATTGATGGTCTTGATCCTTCGACGGGAATGAAAACGGAAGCAATGAAGAAACACGTGTATACAAATTACTACCTGGAGTTCATGGATGGACACGTCATAGACAATCTGGACACAGGTCATTTTGGATTTCAGAGTTTTGGTTGATATCATCACTTCTTCTTTTTTGTGAGATAGCATCGGGTTTTGTTGGTTAGTTGGTTGGTAGAGTTCTCTGAATTGTTTGTTCGAAATGCAAACACGAGCGAGGATGATATTGCTTTTCCCACCCCCAGTATTGTTATGCGCATGGATAGGATTGGCAAAGTCAAAACAAGGTAATTTGGCCAAGAAGTGTTACTTAAGCCTCAGGTATGCCGATGACGTGACATTATTCAATAACCATCAAATAGCCAATTCCCTTCCCCTGATCTACCCTCTTGGACTAGACATAAAGGAGACGAGTGGAACCGCTTGTCTTTTTCATATTTAGATCTATCTATGCATGAAGATTCAAATTGGCTAAAAACTCTAATTTTCAAATTTGACCAATCAGTGACAAAAGTTATGCCTAATACATATGTGTGACTTGAACCATATGTCCCTTTGTTTTTTTAGGTGAACAATTGGCTTGCCTTTGCATGTGTTTGTAGAGGGTAACACCTGTAAGGTAGAATGCACTCACTTTTCACGAACACCTGGTATCATCACTATTTGATCGTGATTCATAAACAATTGCTCACGACATGGTTACAACATTCAAGGCCTCAGTAAAACCTTCTGAACGTTTTATGGTGGTCATGTGGAGGACATTTCCAAATTTGACGCATCAGTGACAAGAATGATGTCGGATGCAACTCCAAATTTTGAGTCGTACCATACCGTGTTTTGTTTTAGGTGAACAATTGGCTTGCCTTTGCATGTGTTGGTGTTGGGTGCCACAGGTGGGGATGGATACACTCACCTTTTTGCGAACACCTGGTATCATCACCATTTGATCGTGATTCATAAACAATTGCTCATGACATGGTCGGAATCGTGCATTCGACTCTGCTTTTAACACAGTTTGTCATAAACATGGACAGAGTTTCGTTGCTTTTATTAATGGTTGCAAACCAGTGAAGAACGGAAACCAGGCCGCCATGTTTGAGGCTTTGACAATCATTTGTAATGGTTCAAACTACATCTTGTAAACCCAGTGTCGAATATGGTTTAAAGTATTCCTCCATTTGCGAGGTTTTAATTTCAGGTTTTACTTAAAAGTAAAATAGTTTGCGGTTTTCCCCTATTTTGTCCACACCTTTTTGTACTGTTGAAAATCCCACTGTTTGCGCATAACAGTGTTTCAGTACATCATGAGGGCGAGATGTGAGGGGAAAGGCGAAGTGATACAAGTCTATTGTTTTTAACACTTTGGTGAAATGGAAAGTTTAAAAAAGTACACTCGCAATTTAGGTATCTTCAAGTACATGCAGACGTTACTACTCACGGTGTTAACCATTTATATTTGAGGTGAAGCAATATGGAGTTTTATGTCGCTTTCAAAATTATTTCACTTAGGCCTACATAGCCACGTGCCTGTGTCGTGTGTGCATGTGGCTGCGTATTCTTGCCCTGACTAGTCTGGTCGGTATTGATAAGCTAGCCCACTGAGATACAGTGCCCCAGAGTAACGTGAATACCCCAGACCGACACAGGACATTGACTCGACGAGCCGACCAGGTTTTGGTTAAACGTCCTTTTGTCGACATTCCGTTCTCCGGCTAGACGTTCTATCCACGTGACCGCAGATCAATTCAATTTCAATTCCATATTTAGGTTAAGCTTTACAACTTATCGCTATAAAAATAAACTATTGAAACACACAGTTTTGGTTCTTCATACAGACACGTTGTGTCGGGTATTTGGTGAAAAATGAGCACAGGTTACAAGTTTCTGATTTCGAATTGAGGTGAGGTGAGGTGAAATGGGGTTTAACGTCGCGTCCAAGATTATTGCACTTATATAGCGACGTGTTTGTTTTTTTAGGGCTGCTTGTACTAGTCCGGACTGATGCCGATTTATAGTGCTAGCTCACTGAGATACCATGCCGCAGTTTAACATGAATACCCCACTCAGACACAGTATACTGACTCCGAGCTGACCAGTCCTTAATGCCGAGCGCCAGACAGGGTAACAACAAGTACCATCTTTTAACGTCTGTTGGTATGACGCTCTCCGGGCGGACGCTCTACCACTTGACCACGGAGGCGGTCAATTTCGAATTGAGAATATACATACTTACTTTACTTACATCTAAACGTATTTGCATGGTTCAGACAGGTTACTGAATGACATAACTATTTTACATTTTGTAACATTAGTAATTGGACAAGTTGGAATACGACGTAAGATATTTCCATTAAAATGGTCTTTTGTATTACTTTGTAAATTCCAAATACATGTATAATGGACACTTCGGTACAAAATGAAACCCATCTTCAAAATCAAAACAAAAACTACATATTCATTCAGTAACATCAAAACCTTTATTTCTTCAAGTTTATATTGCTAACATATGTAAATGTGGCTGCATGTTGTCTCAGAAGAAAAGGAATGTATATTCTTAAGTCATATTGTATGACATGACAATCAGAAAGGTATTCTTTCAACACACACTTTGATGAAGTGACTTTTATTTCCCATGATTATGGAAATCGTTAAGTATAAGCTTAATATATGGAAAATAACAACTGTCAATAAATTGAATAGACCAGGCGTTAGATTTAGCTAAATATAGTGGACGCTAACTCTTACATTTATAACAGACTACAGTGAGTGAGTGAGTGAGTTTCATTTTACGCCGCTTTTAGCAATATTCCAGCAATATCACGGCGGGGGACACCAGAAATGGGCTTAACACATTGTACCCATGTCGGGAATCGAACCCGGGTTTTCAGCGTGACGAGCGAACGCTTTAACCACCAGGCTACCCGACCGCCCCTAACAGACTACAGACTAATTAATAGAGGTTTATTGTATTTCAGGGCCAGGAGTCCTACCGTACAGCCAAGTACATTTATTCTATATTCAGTATTCGTTTTCCGTTGCTCAGATAGCTACAGCTGTTTGGGGGTCGCGGCTGCTTTCAATACGGGTTTCCTGCCTTGTGTTTCCCTCCTAGAGATGGTGCGTCTCGTGAAGCCAGGTAACGACACTTGCTATTGAATCTTCGCACTGAAGGAGCGACTGAATGAGTCGTGTGTACAGCTCTAGTAGGTGAGGTGAGGTGAAATGGGGTTTAACGTCGGGTCAAAGATTATTGCACTTATATAGCGACGTGCATGTACGTGTGTGTGTTTGTGTGGCTGCTTGTACTAGTCCGGACTAATGCCGATTTATAGTGCTTGAACTCTGAGATACCATGCCACAGTTTAACATTAATACCCCACTCAGACACAGTATACTAACTCCGAGCCGACCAGTCCTTGTTTTAGCCCCTTTATGCCGAGCGTCAGACATGGTAACAACAAGTACCATCTTTTAACGTCTTTTGGTATGACGCGGCCGGGGATCGAACCCTACAGTTCTAGTAACGTACTTAGCACTGAGGAGAGGAGAAGGAGCTAAGTAAGGCAGCTATTATTAAGATATTGATAAATCAACAACTGAACGGATCCTCTTGTTTGTGTGTTTGTTTGTTGTTTAACGCCGCACTCGGCAATGTTCAAGCTATATGACGGCGGTCTGTGAAATAATCGAGTCTGGACCAGACAATCCGGTAATTGACATCATGAGCATCGATCCAAGCAATTGGGATCGATGACATGCATCAACCAAGTCATCGAGCCTGACCACCCGATCCCGTTAGTCGCTTTTTACGACAAGCATAGTCACCTTTTACGGCAAGCATGGGTTGCTGAAGACCTATTCTACCCACAGATTGGATGGTGTTAATACTATATTTCAGGTGGTCTGATATGTTTCGGCGTCCCCGACTCCCGTTTCACAGAGGTTAAGGAGTACATCGACAGACTCGCTCCTCTGATGCTGTGGATGGAGCAGGATGGGCTGTGGCAGCTGTTTGACAAGAAGCACTATGATGACTTTTATGATGATGCAAATCCTGGAAACGTCTTCCGATATATCGTACATGCTTCAGATGTTGACGTAGAGAAATATATACACAGGCTTCGTAATTCTCACCTGGAAAAATGAGAGTGAACAGCTGCCATTAGATTGTCTATTGAAGACATTGGTCAGATGGTAATGCCAAATTGAATCCTTCTCTACTGTTCCGAAATATTAGGTTTTGAAAATTTAGAAAATGCATTTGAACTTTTTAAAAAAAGTAAATGGTTCGAGGAATTCAACACCCAATTTTATGGTTTATGGGGAACTTGGCAGGGAACCACTCTAAATTAAAATATTAAAACGGATGATCTCCTTCTTACGGAAGCCTTTTAGGGCCATGTTAAAAATTTTTTATATCCCTATTAACTGGAAATTTCCACTTAGTATCTTGAAATTCCCACTTAGTATCTGGAAAATTCCACTTAGTATCTGGAAAATTCCTCTTAGTATCTGGAAAATTCCACTTTGTATCTGGGACATGGCTCTAAAAGGCTTCCGTACCTTCTGGCCCAAATTAACGAATTTTGATAAAAATTTATGATGTAAATGCAAAATCGTTTAAATGGATGGCAACAGTAACATAAATACTTAATGATTTCGGACCATAAGAAGTATTCATGAACACATCTATTTGCTCAACGTCATGGCTGGTTTCAAAGGCTGAGAGATTCTTAAAGACCAGTTGGTGCTGCCCGACTCAACTTTATAGACTTTATGTGCCTATCGTATAGATCGCATCACATTTGACTATTATTAAAGATATTTCCTTTCAATAAAGAAAAATCGGAATACTATCTGTTGGTTTATATATAACACTTGCAAATAAGGGCTCACCTGCTGTGGACCTCGTGGGGGTGATAACGTAGGCCCACATGATTATCAGCACTAAGACAACCAAATGAAGCTTCGTGATTTACATATGTGTCCCATCGTTTTCATCACTACATATTCCGGGGAGAAGAAAATTGTCAACCAAATAAGTTAGTGAGTGAATTGGGTTTTCCGCCGCTTTTAACAGTATTCCAGTTGTATCACGGCGTGTCAGCTTAATGTGACAGGTCTCAGACGTTTACCACTTCGGTGAAACCCACGAGCACGGGTAGGATGCTGACAAACCTAGAAATATAATCGGGGTGAACCGGGATTCGAACCCACAATCATAGGTTTCTGGCGAGCCCAAGGGAAGCAACTGTGCACAGCGAATCGCGCCGCCTTAGACGACTTGGCTTGGCTTGTGTATATCATACTCAATATTCCACAGCTGCCGATCTCCTGAAACGAAGACCTATCTGCAGCCAACATCATTAACAAAACAAAATGACCAACAATTGGAGAAAACTAATATGCACAGCTTTTTTTCCATTTCATTGGCATCAACTATTTTTTTTATTTGCTGCACGCTATAAAGTGGGTGAAATTCACTAGTGTGCAATAGCACATTTATAAAGAAATTCACAAAATACACGACACGAATTGTTTTCCTTTTATTTTAAATTATATTTCCTTTCCTGCTACGCATTTGTCGATGAATGCGCTTAAGGGAATGCGCCTTATTTATGGGTCCTTCATCTGTTGTTTATGGACGCGCATCTGTCCCATAAGCACTCCGTTTTTTCCATGTCTTCCTCACGACACCTTTGGCATATTACAACATAAATAATATGTTTTGCGGAGCAGTCCAGGTGAGAACGTACATGAAATAGTTGTTTCCTGTTTTTGAACTTTATACATGAATTTTTAACTCTATATTCCCACAATTTCCCGTTTACATTTTGAGACACTGAATTCTATAGACTTAATAGACGACTCAAGTTGGGAGCGTGTTAATATTTTCTTAAAGGTACGCTTTGTCGTTTACTTATAATTAGGTTTACACTGGGTGAATTCGATTCATTTTAATATCAACATTGAAATTTTTAACATTTTGTCCAATGCCGTGGGTGAGTGAATGATATGGTCTTACGCCGCTTTTAGCAATATTTCAGCAATATCACGGCGGGGGACACCAGAAATGGGCTTCACACATTGTACCCATGTCGGAAATCGAACCTGGGTCTTCGGCGTGACGAGCGAACGCTTTAACCACTAGGCTAATCAACCGCCCACATAAATAGGTATTGTGCAACACACTCATATAGAAACGAGGACATTAGAACTGTGTCTACAGTGATAGAGACAAACGACTTCTTAGTTTACCTAGACATTAAGGATCTTTTTCACAACGTGGAGGTTTGTGAATATTCAAGAAAAAATCATGTTTTTGAGAGGAGACATGTACACTCCAGATGGTGAGCATTACCATTCGGGTTTTATTATGTTGTCCTTATTTATTTGTATAAACGTCTTAGACCAGTTGTACGTTACCCCAGATCGCTTGGTTTCAGACTAAATGTCTATGTGAACGATTTCATGTGAACGACCTCTGGTGTCTTAACTTGTGATTATCGTGATACGTTGCACTTTGGAAGGGAGATCAACTACAAGAAATGTGAGTTGCATAGAACCCCTCATGTGTTGGATTATATCGGTTATACTTTCAACACAATCAAGCCTAACAAAAGAGTTGTAATTCGAGCTCAGAAACTTCGAGTACAACAGATATTCGACGAACAGTATATCGGGAACGCATTACCGCCAGATTTCTTGCGAAAGTTGTTAAATGGGTGTCTGTTGCATGGGCTGTTAATCTAGGAAAGCTATTGTATGTTGGGGTTATTGTTTGTTGGCATTTAGAAGCTCGTGGGACTCCATTTAATTTTCAACAAAGACACCACAGATGAACTAAAATGGAGGTTAAACTCAGTAGATTCGTTTAACTGTATGGCCGCAAGTAGTCGACATACAAATATTGACCTATGCTTCCAGAATAGGCTGACCAATTTCTTTCAAGTAATTTAAGATGAGATGCCCACTGAGCAGTACGGCGAGTATTATGACAAGACGAGTAGCATGCCCTTGTTTGCACGGTTGGTTGTACATACAGTAAACTACGGTTATAACGAACACGCTTATAACGAACTGACGGATATAACGAACTTACTTTTTTGGTCCCGACTATGTGCTGTAGTTATGCTGTATATATGTTTTTTAACGAACTACGGTTATAACGAACTAAATTTAGCAGTCTCTTAAAGTTCGTTATAACCGTAGCTTACTGTACGTGGCATGAAGCGCCAACTGTACAAAGGCACAAATAGCTAGTCATGATGTACTTGTAAGTGACATCATTCACCGTAAAGTTGTAACAAATGTACATACTGTTTCTTACCATCATTTGCATATGACCATCAGACCGGGACATATGCACACGCAAAAATAACTAATGATGTGCCCGCCTTCAGTGCAATAAATTGTGTTGCTTGTTTAACAGCTTGTCTAAAGGCTTTTTATCGCAGTAACGTCAAGGTCTATATGTTAATGTACAATTATGTGCAGTTTAACATCAGTTGACTACTTTCGGCAAACTACTACAAGGAGACATTTTATGTTGTGGGAGAAGTCTGGCATTGTTTCCAATACAATATGATTTGATTAGGAATTCTTGGCAAATCATTTTTCCTTAAGCTTTTCCCAACCATTTTTAGTATCTTGAAGAAATGGTCCGTTCATGTGTAAGTTAATGTTTACTGTTTAATAAGTTGTCTTTGAATTACACCATTCTCACAGTGGATTATTCTTTGTCGGAAATACATTTACAACAGAAATGTTGACATGAAGTACAGGTTGCGAGCTGTTGTTATCATGGATGCGTAACTCAAACAAATTCGCAGCTGAACAGTAATATGCGTTATTTGATTTGTCACATTACTGTCATGCACGTTTTACACGAGATGGTTTCGCATTGAATGATTTGTAAACGTTTTGATGTAAAAGGTAAAAAGGTTTGTGTTTCCAAATTGAATATCTGATAAATCATTGCTCACCAGACATGCCTAAAGTTTGCTATTTGTCAATATTGTGTTCTTAATACAAAGAGAATGCAATAAGCAATGTGACTAAACCCCTTCCATAATCATAATTATACAAAACGTCGACGCAAGAGAATACGTTTTGATTACCTGCCGAAACATATTCCATTGGATTATTTGTATGTTTTGTTTGGTTTTTTGTGTAACGCCGCACTCAGCAATAATCCAGCTATATGACGGCGGTCTGTAAGTAATTGAGTCTGGACCAGACAATCCAGTGATTCACAACATGAGCATCGATCCACGCAATTGGGATACGATGACATGCCTGACCACCCCATCCCGTTAATCGCCTCTTACGACAAGCGTAGTCTCCATTTGCGGTAAGCATGGGTGCCATTGGATGAAAATGCACATTAGTGGTGAACATTATGTAAATGGATCGCTGAAAATCAGTGATGACACCAGATGTTCGAGAATAGGGTAAGCAGGTGCTGTTTTTTTCCTGTAGAACCACTCACACAATATGCATGAAAGCATAAGTTTTGTTTGTTGCCTATATGCTAAAAACAGCGTCGATTGTATATTTCCGACTCAATCATAAGCATCTATGTATGAATCACTATCAAGTAGTGATGATACAAGGTTTTCCCAACGGTATCACCCATCATAAACACATGCAAAGGCAAGTCAATTGTTCATCAGAAGAAACACGGGAACGTATGCTACTAGACTAAGTCAAGATAGAGAATTGTATCAGGTCATGAGGTTTGTCACAGACATGTCAAATTTGGAAATGTCCTCTGCATGTTAATCATGAAAAGTTTTGGAAGTTTAACCAAGGCCCTAAATGTTGTAGTTCTTATCAAACAACTTTTGAGCAAGAGTCGTATGACGCTCTTTGACATTTGCGTTGAAAGAGCATGGTGAATTTTAACTATAACATTGTGAAATGTAGATATCAAAGGATGGAGCTGCTGGTCTATTGAGGAAGAGAATTTATTGATGTCAACTTCTTTATTATGAAGAACACAACGTTTCGGAGTATATACTTTCACATTCATCGGGTAAATGCACCTGATGAAGGCGTAAGTATACTCCGAAACGTTGTTTCAAAATGCCATTTAAAGACTTGCTGGAATAGAGAAGGGAAAGATGACTATTGGAATAAAGCAA